TAATATTAAACATATAACTCATAGAAAATATATAATATATAGATACTTTGTTGTTACTTATCAAACGTTTTCATAAATGTATCAGTAATAATTTTAAATTATTTAAATACAATATAGAAATATTAATAATATTATTCATCTAGTTCATTTAGTTCAAACAATTCAAAATTATTTTTAAAAATACTTAAAAATATAATTGAAAAAAATTTTAAATACCAACATCTTTTTGATGATTGAAATTGATTTTTAGTAATTGAATAACAAAAATTATTTTAAAATAATATGCAATGAAAAAACTCTAACCGTCTTACCTATAGGAATAACATGAAGCAGAAAMAATTCAAAAAGTTTTATGAAATTGTAGATAATCAAAAGCTACTGGACCGATTTCAAAGTTTTATGAAAATAGAGAACGATTGCACTGGGCTAAACAGATTTGAGATATTCACCAATAAATATTAATATAATAATTATGCATGGGAATTAAACCAGTACCTCTATATATTTCCAAAGTAATAATCTAACTTGTACCGTAAGAATATTATATTGGTCTGAGAAATTCTCCGCTTGTATATAACAAGATAAGAAAAAAAGTGACACACGCGATGGATCCGACCAGTCCGAAATAGCTGTATTCGCGTACATCAGACTTGAGTGTATGACATTTCGGTTTCGGATACGAATGTCGTTTGCGAATCYCGAGCGGTTTCTATCGCATCGACCGGTATAGCCATGTACAAAATATGATCATTCACACAGTTCGGTGGTAAATTATAAACCTGTGAGGTTTTTGAACGATGGATCGCCAAAAACTCATCGTACGACGGCGGTGGCTCATTGAGCGGAGACGTTAATAACAAGCGTGCACTGTTATTGTCATTGAAAGTGTTAAGCTCAACGTAATTTAAATCAGAACTGTGCAATGGTCCCTGTGTTGTACATCTAGGATTTGTGACATGTGTCCTAGTGATTTGTGTTTCGTCATACGAAGGAGGCGGGTCATTAACGTTATTGTCGTATCTTAAATAGACATTCGACGGCATTACACAACTTCGGTCGTCACTGTTAGTGGACTGTAGACCCTCATCTGATAGAATTTGATTTAAACTCGGATGTATTCTTCTTGTAGATCCTACAAGGTGAAAAAAAAAGATTTTATATATACGTTATGTATATCTTATAGATATGTAAGTAATTACATTTATATATATATATAGTTATTTTTACATACAGATACCTAATAGCACTTTTCATAAATTTAAAATTTTATAATTACATGGTATATAAATGAACAATGTATCAAGTGGTAYACTAAGTCAAAATTTAATGTTTGGAAATTTTAAATATATTTAAAGACCCACGAGACGGTACTTCAGATTCTTGAGATGCAAGCTTCTATTTCCTTCCCCCCCTCTTTTGTCACAATTTTTTCGAAAATGTTGGCATATCAAAATCAAAATTCTAACTAGAGGTTTTTGAGTTATTTATATTGTGTACCATAAGGATAAATAGACCCTCCATAATAATAGCCAATGGGCTTGGAAAATATCGTGCCTATGGAAAATTGTAAACTTTAATAATACATCCATAAATATTTAGAAATTATAAAAATGGATCAAGTTTAATAATTTTATTAATACTAGATCCAATATGGCATCGATTATATATTTCTTACCACAATTTTTAAGGAATATTATTACTACAGTAAAATAAACATTTTAATAACTGAAAATTTACTCGTTAAAATTTTTAATCAGATATATAATAATAGTCAAAACATTATATACTAAATAATTTAAATTTTAAAGTAAAAACTAATAAGTGAGGTTCTCATTTGAAAAACAGTTATTTATATTACTACAAGAAACACCTTAAGTAGTAAGAAAACCTTAAGAGTTTAATAATATSTTGGTTGTTTAAGTAGATATATTAATAGTAAGTATTTAAAAATTTAAAAGTCAGAATCTGGATATATTATTTACTATTAAGTTTAAAAAAATGGTGGGGAGCATCATGATACAGTTGAATCACCTTCTATTTATTAGTATTGTTTATTATATATGAAGTATTAAGTAAAATTTTTACTTTACTCTGAGTTTACAGTATAATCTTATAAAACTATCAAAACTGAATTAAARTTCTGTTCATAGGCTCAACTAGGGAAATTATTCTGTAGAGGGGGGGGCTAGAATCGTATCAGCAACACAAACCCTGATAATTAATATTTTAAACTAAAATATAAATAAAAAACTGGGAGGCTAAGCTCTCTAAAGTCTCCTAATTGCATCTATGACTCTGTTGTAAGAAAAAAGTTGATACTTGTTACTGAGTTTTATTTTAGATTCTGAGCGTAGCGAATGAGTACCTACTATTGCATTTACAATGAAGTGGATTTATTTTTGTGTATCATCAACATTTGTGATTATAAAAATTGCTCCAATTTTCGGCATCAGAAATCTTTTCTGATAGAAAAGTGAATTTATAAAGAATTTTTTTTTTTTGAAAATTTCCAGTTGTTTTTGAAATCGTCTTGGAAAACAAAAAGAGTGGTAATTTCTACGCAAAACGGATTTTTAAAAATATAATTTTGTAAATTACTTTTTCGTTAAAAATTCAATTTTTTCTTTTCATATAGCTAACATTAGAAATTTTAATAGACAATTTTCAGTAAGTTTTTCTACTTCTATGAAAAAAAAAAGGTCATCGGAAAGTTACGCTATTATTGGCATGAGATATTTCTAATTTTTGTTATTTTTTTCAACTATTCAATTTAATTATTTATACAGTTATGCTAGGATGACTTAATAATTTCTCCGCTCAAAATTGTTTTTCGTATACAATAATTTATAACTGAATAGGTATTCAAAATATAATATAATTTAATATTACAGCGGCATGCTCCACAACTACTGTACATCGGATGTGGTACCTAATACTTGTTCAACTTTTTTTAAAATTTTAAATAATATATAGTGTTCTAAACTAATATACAATAAAATATTTTAAATTTAAATTTAATAWATTTWATATTTTATAGAATTTTTTAGTGTAAAATAAAAATATCATTCATACTTGATTCGAAACAATCTCCAGATGCGTGTATTATAAACATATACATTATACACATGCATATAAACATTTTGAATATAAATCCAATATTGCGCAGACTATTAGTTGTGACTGGAGCACTGAATTCAGTAATCGCTTGATGAGTTTTATTTTTGCATAGATTAACACTTTTTGGATCTGTGCATATTTCCTAGATTTAAATTTAGCAAAAACTTGTAGAAACTTTATAACTAAAAGATATCTACAAATTATTATTATAAATTATTTTCAGCAAAATAAATGTGCGTTTTGACAACTAATTTTGAATTGATTATTGTAACGATAACTATAAATTTTAAATCCATTTTTGCTGAAAATAAAATAATAAACTAATATAGACTATAGGMTATAAATTATTGGATTTATTTTTAAAACTAGGCTTCTTTATTTCACAGATTTACGAATAAACTAATAAAATACATTCTATGGCAACCTTATAAAAATTGGGCCACTATTTATAATTTAATCCAGTAATCAGAAGTTTGTACTAATGTTAGATGCAAAGGAACATCAAAAACCAGAAAATGAACTTTAATTTGAAATAATTATATCCTTGATGAAATTAAAAAATACAAAAAATTGAAAACCAGATTTTAACTTCTCAAAAAAATGAATAATTATTTAAACAATTTTTTTATGTTATTAGTTTTATATTTTGCATTTATTATTTATTAAATAATATACATAAGTATARTAGCATACTTAGACCTAAATTTCGAGGGAGGGTTATCTCCCGTTAGTATGCCACTATATAGGTGTGTGTCAACAGGAATTAATATATATTTGTATATTTTTGTGTTTTACATTTATGTGGCCCAAACTCAGCKTATAATTTAATGTAATATATTTCGTTTGTTCCCCAATGCCCACAGGTTACAAAATGTAAACAAATATTTTATAAAACTTATAAATATATTTATATCCCAAAATCCCAACTTTTCCTTATCTCACAATGTTGAATTGTTGATATTCGTATTATTAAGTAGTTTTTACGTCAAAATAAGTGTTAAAATTTATCTGTTTAAAAATTATAATAAACAGTAATATTTATGTCTATTTTGAAATTAAAAACTGACTATTGCTAAAATATATCTTGTTTAAAATAATTCAAACATATTTGCTGTGGTTATTATACATACTTCATTGCAATTTCTGGTCATAGGTTTACAAATACAAGATATACACGACTCGTTATTCATTGTAGACATGTTTTTATCGTCACTGACTATAAACAAGGCAATGACATAATTACCTAGAAAATAATTGAATTTAAAAATAAAAATGCATATTTTAGTGGTGTGTTATTTCATACCTGATATCTGACTCCATACAAATATTAATAAAATTAAAATCGTACTCATATTCGATTGAATGATATTCACCACTCGTACATAAAATATTTATGTCTTTAACTAACCTGAAATTTTATTCATATAAATCAATAATATTTTAATTACGTTTTACTATGATACCTAAAAACGTTAGAATTTGTACTATAATATGCTTCGAGTATGATGTATGACTTGATTTAGTACAATAAATAAGATTTTGATCAAACAATTTGATATAGGTCCAATTGGAAATATAAATGAAATACATTAATGTTGGACTTTGGTGTTTGAAATGTGTTTTGGATTTTAAATAAATCACAAACAATATTGTACTCAAAAATGATTCTGATCTGTTCTCGGTTCGCCTCAATATAAAGGTCATTTTACATAATATTACTAATTGTTTTCGTTAACTTTTCATTTTCTAATATTTTGTTCGTAAAATGTCATCTCGAAAAAATTTAGATACATATTATACTATTATTATCATCATATCATTAATATTTAATTTTTTTTCTATCTAATATCGATAATTTAAAATTGATAAAAGAAAACATAACATTAGTTATCAAAAGTATTCAATACTTACGCAAAGGAAGATCGTAGATAACGAATCCATTACAATAATAATAATTATAATATTGTAAGATGTTCATGAAATAAATGTGTACAGTAGTAATAGTGGTCAATCATACAGAATGTGCAAAATGAATATATCGACATAATTATTGTAATAATCTGCAGAACCTTCAGACGTTAAAATAAACTGAGCGCGTACTAGTACATCGTTGGACGTTGGTAACAGGTTAACTACATTGATAACAATAATAATAATGATTAGTAATAGTAGTAGGGGAGTGAAATACAGCTGTAATAAGAAAATGTTTTTGTCGTATATTATACTTATCTTTTTATCAACAGTTTTCAACATAAGCATACTTCGAGCATTACGTGTGCTCAGATGGGTTGCAAGTATTTGAAATTTATTGAACAATAATGTTTTACAATGACAAACCATGACCATGTTTTTACACAAATCGTTTTTAAAAAACCGGTAATAACAAATGATTTAAATTTTGAATTAAAATAAAAACTTAATTATAAAWAATTATTCGTCATTACGTAATAATTAATTTTTATAGTTTTATAAATACTGACAAAGTAAATTCTTAATACCTACTGTCAATAAAAACAAACAGTGAAAAATAAAATGTTTACGTTTATATGCATATAGGTAATATTTTTTTTCATGTCATCAACTACGTGGTTATTAGCCGACGCTTAATACAATTATACTTACGTATTACAAATAAATTTAAAAAGAAAAAAATTATAAATAGGTACTTTA